GTTTCTGCTAGGATATTATTAAAATTATTAAGCGGAAAGATACAAAAGAAAATGTGTACGTACCGCCATCTGACGACAAAATTCACCGATAAAAGGCTTCGAATAACCTGCAGTAACGACAGTTGTACGCTGCTTCTGTTCGTGGTATATTCTGTGATGAGAGAGATATAACGAAGTGCGCTTGTAAATTAGCACTGTTGCAGACGTGTTTGATTTTTTGTCAACGCAAAAGATTATTATGTTAATATTCTTCCAATCTACTGGTGAAAAGTGTCCATTTCGTACTTGAACTTTCAGAACATTATTTTTAAATGTTATTTGTTCTCAGTGCTATGCTATATTTTCGACATTTATTATACCATCCGTATATAAACGACCTGTTTGAATTTTTATTTTGATCAGTGATTAGAGGATTTTTATAAAGACATTTCACTGGTAATAAAAATAACCGAGTAAAATGCCTTGGGTAATTTTTAACTGAAGTTTTCAGGTGCTATACACTATACTTCGAATGACGTTTTTATGAAGAAGCGCTTACTCAAAGTGATAAATGCTTTATCTTATGACCATAACCTATTTTACAACCTTTCTTGTATCGGGAGTTGAAAACTAAAACGTTCGTCACGCTTCAGGGCGTGTTAAACGAGTCTGTTTGTTACTCGCTTATCGTGAATATACGTGATTATCTTGCAGTGACGTCATGATAACTAACGAAAACGGTTATCTTCTTACGAGTTGCCATTCCGTATAGAAACGAAGGTTAATGTAACTAATACTGAATCATAAGTTTCTACAAAAACACAGGAAAGACGAAAAGGGTCATTATGAGCTTCGAGTGTGTTTGTGCGAATAGCAGACCGTGTTCTCTGTCTTTCACGGAGTCCAACAGTTCCAGGTGTACCGTGGATACACCACGACCGGCTAGAGAGTTCAGTGGACTCATTTCTGAAGGCTCTTCGACACTAGCTGTACTACATCCTTCTCTTTCAAGTCCAACTCTAAAAACAGGCATTGCTGGGAAAAATACGCTTCACTGCAAGAGATGCCGCCAAATTAAATCAATGGACACTCATCCTGAACACCCATCTTGTAGTGGAAGAACGTGTATCTCTGGACATCAGGGTTCAAGTATGGGTTATATTCCCACATGTGGTTCACCTCTTCACTCATACGCAGGGACGAAATTAAAACTTTTACATGAAACTGACGTACTCCTGTGTAAAGTGTTTCATTCTAGGAATGTGGTTCACAAGTTCCTTGGTTCGAAATTTCTGCGCAAATGGGAAAATCACCATCTGTTCTTCACTGACTCTGAAATCATTTCAAGAAGTGTAAGTATAAAACTAAACTATTATATATATATGTGTGTGTGTTGTTTTTCCATGGAGATAATACAAATTTGTTTACACAAACGTGATCAAGTGAATATATAGAAATATCATAGTGTTACACACTGTATATGACAATACAAACATTTCTGAATTGTGAATTTAAGTTGGTACATGTAAAATTAAAGTGAAATATAGCATATTAAAAAAAGAAGGCAAATAATATATATACTCAGGAATATAAAACAGGCTCTGCGAATGCATTCAAGCTCCTATAATAAGAGTATATGGAATAAGTCCTTTCAGGCAAGAGATTTAGATTGTTTTTAAATCGTCTTATTTTTATATACGAATGTGTATCATGGTGGCTTGAGCTAAATGTGAACGACAATAACTATATCTGGTTAGATCGAAAACATTAAGAAACTGATGCCTTATCAATCACTGCAAATAAGTGTTGGACTAGATTGTTTGTTTTTGGATACCTGCTTAAAACTACTCGTGGATTTTTTGCGCTAGCTGGCCTTAATTTTGAAATGATAGAAAGAATACATCTTGTCAACGACGCCCACTGCCAATTTTTGGGCTACTCTTAGCTGTTCTAGCAGTGGAATTTGACTGTCGCCCTTATAACGCACCCACAGCATCAACGTGCACATTGCGATTTTTTCGTTCTTTTTTTCTTTTTGGAGCACGAGCTGAGGGACCGCAGATTCACAGTTTGGTACGCTAACAACTGGCCTACATTCGGCCCTAAATTTCGGAGATTGGGTTGCTGATTCAGATTATCTGAAAATAGATTTGGATCCAGTGCATATCGTTCTAACTCTGAACTTCTAATTAATATTCCAATTTTAAATATAAAAAGACGCAAATTTCTTGCCCACTCCGCCAATCTTAGTTATATGTTCTTCCTGATCAGCTTTATTATTCTCATAACTTTTGTGCGCGTGCACGTGTTTAGCCTATCTGTTGCACCCATATATATATATATAATTTAGTAAAACTCCCAACTCAGGTATATAGACAATTAACGATAGAAGTAACAAAAAATTATATAACTAATTGTATATACAAATTAACATGGTTTTATGCTTAAACAAACTAACAAGTAAAATGTGCCCTAACAATAAAACTATTAACAAGTTTCATGAAAAATAATCTGAATGCATATAACTCAAAACAGAGTTTATGGCAACTTTCAATTGGTGTATAAATTTTAAAACTGTTAACTTAACCAGGACTCAACTGGTGTGAAACACTTTAAAACTGCTAACCAGGACTCAACTGGTGTGAAATACTTTAAAACTGTTAACTACGACTCAACTGGTGTAAAACACAAACTATTAAAATGCAACGAACAAAAGGCTGTGATTTAAATGCTATTCAAAGTTCCACGACTTCTTTTAGTCGATAGTATGTTTATTATAAATTACATGCTATACCGCTACATATATATTTTATGTCTTTTCGACGTTGCACTATATGGATACAACACAACTCTACAACAATTAAGAAGCATGTCCAGTTGATGGAGAACAAGTATTTCAATTGTTGTTTTCCAGAATTTCTAGTGCACACTGGAATGATTTAGGTTAGAGAAAAAACGACCTTTATACTCCATATAATAGTGAAAAGAACCTTTTATTTCAGCCAACAACTAGTTATTATATTACTACTAGCCTTGATAAAGCTGCAATAGCGAAACGTTGGCTGAAATGAAAGGTTCTTTTTAATTATTACCTGAAAATATATGCGCGAATGTGTGTATGTGTCTCTTTCTCTGTGAGCCGGGCCCGGCATGGCCAGGTGGTTAGGGAGCTCGACTCGCAATCTGCGGGTTTGAATCCCCGTCCCACCAAACATGCTCCAAACTTGGGGTATAGTCACAACTCTGTGCGGGAAGTAACATGGGCTGTGTGGCTGCGGCCTTAGAGGCCGTTTAGAGACCGAAAGCTGAGGCCAAAGAAACCTTTATAACCTTTTTGATAAACACGACGACGACTAATTGGTCTGAAAGTGAAAATGTCGTAGTTGTTGGTAATGTATGATTATGAGGGCTATTATTTACGTTTCTTCTCTGGTCAATTATGTGTTAAAACGATTTAAAAACTTCGCGGAGACTTTATTTGCTTCTCTGCTCATAATCTTTGTTCCTAACAGCAAGACAAAAATATTGTGTACAAAGAAGCTTTACAGTAGGTGAATAAATTAGCACGTAAATAAGGAACTAAATAAATTAAAGCCATTTTCACCAGAGCAACGCTGGTTACTCTACTAGTAGCTGGATACAATATGTGCAACAACAAGTATAAGAAAGCAGTTGTAATTTTTTACAAAATCTTTTTACCGGTAAAATACAATAGAGTTATTAAAAGTTGAAATCCTTGAAATAATATATTTAAACAGAGATATAATATAGATCTAGTAGTAACTAGTGACCAAGGTTCGATTGCTTCACCAAAAAAATATATTTCTGTTTAAATTAAGCAATTAGATGCCCGAATAGTAAAATTTAATCTCAATGTAAATTTATTATGAAAAGGTACAAGCTGCGCCTATGCTTAAATTGTGTCATTATATTTCGTATACTTGTTTTATTCTTATCTTCATAGGATTAAACTTTCCGATTATGTTTTGGATAATCATCAGATTGCTTTATGAAAGTGATATGTTGACATCCATGTCACATATATGGTAAAACTCGGATATTTTCCCCACCCTAAAACGTTGAGATTAGGAGAAAGGTTACCAAATATAACGCTTTTTCTGAGTACTTAGTATATTGTGCTTAAACGTGAAACGTTCATGTAAACTATGGTACAGAAATTTCAGCAAATGTTTCGTAAACTTTGTGTTGACTGGTAGACGTTTTTCTTCGTCGCTTGCATCGTTTCTTTCAGTTATGAGTATACAGCATATGGCAGAAACAGTTTCAAGCCGTTGCAGTCTGTGTTTTGAATCAGAGCCTGACGCTTCACAATTCTGGGAATAGTTTCCACTTTGCACATAAGCAATGGTTTGAATTGAATACGACTACTAATTACTTGGATAATATGCACTATATGACACTTTGTTTAGTAATTATTAGCATGCCTGAAATGCCATTTACCCACCGTACAGGTTAGCAGAATGTAAAATCCAGAACATTAGGAAACTGTTACTCTATTTGATGTATTGAAGAGATAAATTGAGTAAATAATTAATTCTGTATAAGATTATGATATTTACCACAACAAACTGGCCAGAACATACTGTTATTTTAATAATCCGTTCCGGTTAATGATGATCTATGTTGCAGGGTATACATGTGCATTGAAAGTGTGAAATAACAATCACATTATTACATAACTTATTAAAACCAATTAACCATTAACCAGTTCCGTGCCACAAGACTTGACTGCATACACAGTTGCATCAGTCCTGTAACAGTGTGTCACACATCTTTGTGTGTGAAAACAAGGCAAATAATGAGAATAAGGTGGGAATATTACATAACAAAACCAGGTCGAACATCACAACTATCAACTCGACTCATAAATGGCTACTACAGCCTAGACTGGTTTAGACTAGTTTATTATGGCCGGAACATGTATTACACATCTTGAGTGTATATGGAAAATAATATAAAAAATACAACAAAAGTGAGGATGTTATTTATTCAAACCAGATCTGGAACTCACTCCCATTAACCACCATAAATCGCTACAACAGAGACTACTATATGAGAACCGGAACAGAGACTCAGAAGCAGTGTGTTTTACACATCTTAAATAGTATAACAAAAATGTTAATAACAAGGTGAGAATATTATAATATTGATAAAAACATTACCTGATTATCCTTTTTGTTAGTTCGTTATGGATACCTATGCAAGTAGCTTCATGTTAGATTTGTGAGTTAGTTTTACATTCATAACAAGAGCAATCAGAGAGATTGCGTGCTCTCGCCCCGCCAGTAGTTTTTGGGATTTTTGGTTTCAATATGCGCCTGAAGTTCAGTCCTAATCCGATCACTTTTTAAAGTTATTATCAACAGACTGAGAAAATGCCATATATCTACATCATAAAGATGTTTCAAAGTGATCCAGAATCCCAGTGATCCGGACCAGATTTAGGGAGGATCGTCCTATGACGACACCCTATATCTTGTAAAAAACTCACGTAAATCGGTTTATTATTTTTTGAGATGCGCTCGCAAACATACATGCGGACTCAAATGCAATACGCTAATGACTAGACTATGCACTGTAATCAGTAAGCTTCTTGTATTCAGTCACTAACATCCGGAACAATAGGTTACACATTGTAACTATAACAAAACGGGGCATAGTCTACACTCATTGAGATAGAAAATCATGTTGTATCAGTATTTTGTTAGATTTATGTAATGCAAACTAGCGTATAGGAAAAAGTGTTTTCTTATTTCTCAATTTAGTATTAATATTCTTTTAAAAAACCACAGCTTATAAACATAACAACATAACAAGTGTTGCCGTTGTTATTTCCTAAAATACGTGTTTTACTGGCAATTTCATATAACCAGTAGTCCATAATGAGAGGAAATCATGAATCCTTTTACTTCAAACTGTCATTGACATGTTTCTTTTTTATGAGAGGTATTTTGATTTTAAGCGCAAAGCTGCACAATGAGCTATCTCAGCCATGCCCACCACAAAATCTAACCCCGAATTTTAAAGTTATAGGCTCTCATTCTTATCACTAAGTCATGGGGAAGCCATAAAGAGATAAAATACTCTAAAGCTTGAAATAATAATATAAACATCCAAAAGAGTCTTTCAGTTAAATTCCTCGGCTATTTATGTCAAGTTTTATAACTTAACAACTATTCCAGATTTCAAAAAAGAACGATGCAAATGATGCTTTGGAGTGAAATGTATTTCCTCGCACCGTGAGTCTTTTAGGTGGGTGAGAATGTGGTCATGGCTAACATAGTATACCAGTGGAGTACTCTGTCATTTATCAATACCAGCAACAATTCAA